GAATTGCGTGATATAAAGTCAGAATTGTGAGATATAAAGTCAGAATTGCGAGATATAATTTCGCAATTGTGAAATATAAAGTCAGAATTGCGTGATATAAAGTCAGAATTGTGAGATATAAAGTCAGAATTGTGAGATATAATTTCGCAATTGTGAAATATAAAGTCAGAATTGTGAGATATAAAGTCAGAATTGTGAGATATAAATTCGCAATTGCGAGATAAAAAGTCAGAATTGTGAGATATAAAGTCAGAATTGTGAGATATAAATTCGCAATTGTGAGATATAAAGTCAGAATTGCGTGATATAAAGTCAGAATTGTGAGATATAAAGTCAGAATTGTGAGATATAATTTCGCAATTGTGAAATATAAAGTCAGAATTGCGTGATATAAAGTCAGAATTGTGAAATATAAAGTCAGAATTGCGTGATATAAAGTCAGAATTGTGAAATATAAAGTCAGAATTGCGACATATAAATTCGCAATTGCGTGTTATAAAATACACTATGAACACCAGCATCAATGCTCACTAAGTTAACGGAAATTCTGAAGCATGAAACACACATAATCAACTTAATACACATAATGACGTTAAAAAAATAAGTAATTAAACATACATCGCTAGACAGGAAAAGAACATAATAGCAAACACTTATAATTAATTTATAGCTGAAATGTTGCAGGACATGCAACAAACAAAGTATTTAACATAATGTAGGTCTGCTTTTAAACAACATAAACAAATAATGTCAAAAAGATCTCTGTGCTGCTGTTGTTCATAAATATCAGTAGTGACATTGTACGATGAGGACGTTGTCATTTCGCCGGAAATAGAGCCACCAGTGTCCAGTATACTGATTCACAACCTAGGAGCTGTTTGAGACGCACCCACAATAACATACGCTCTAACAACGTGCTAACAACCACTCAAAACACTTTAGCAGTTGCTTTGAATATAAAAGTATCTGCTAAATGCATAAACGGAAATGTTAGCAACCACTCAGATCACTTTAGGAACCACATATCAACAATCTAAAAGCCAAAGAAATCCACCATACAACACTGAATCTACATCTACAGTGGCACAGGTCGCACAGACTATGAGTGACAAACTGAAAAACGAAAGCAGACTAAATATTGACCAATTATGTGTTTCCAGTTTTGTGACATTGAACTTTCTACACCTAACTCACTAATTGCTGTCGCATTGACCAACGGGTTTTGAGGGTCAGTGGTTGGGGGTCACTGCTGTTCACTGGTTTGACGTCACATGGTAATGGTCTTCTAAATTGGTTCCTAACGCTAATGTAATCTGTCTACATGTTTGTACATACACACAATCTGTTGTTTTAGACAGGAAGGCTGAACTCCAGACACACAATTTGTTCTGGTATGAATGTATGTGCAAGCTCTTACAAGTAGGATAAGTGCCGGTATGATTGTGTAAGGTGCTTGTGCATGGAGAGGTGTGTGTAAGCAGGTGTGTGTGTCTCTCTCTCTTTCTCTCTCTAAGTGTGTGTGTGTGTGTGTGTGTGTGTGTGAAGATCTCATTACATTGTCTGTTCAGTTTAAAGGATATCAAGTGAAAAGGTATCAGCTAGTGTGTGTGTGTGTGCAACTGGTGTTGCCGACAGGGCTATTTCACACACTTGAAATAAAGTAGGCCCTTCTTGTGAATATTTTATGCTCTCCATTTGTTTTGAAAACTGCAAGAGATTAGATGTCCAAGAGCTGGTCATAGTCCAGTAAAGGTATGTGACTATTTTCCGTCTGAAAGTCTTTTCCTGTAGATTTGTTGTTATAAAATAAAAATGAAAAGGGTATTGCACATATTCAGCATCTATAGTGGAATATGTGTCAGGAAATATGTGTTTTGTTTCTGCAGCATAAATCTACTTAGACAGGAATCACAAAATGGACAAAGAATTGTTTCGAAAGCTTATTGCGGATTCTCCTGCACAGCTGACGGGAACATAATGCAAATGTAGTTCATTTATTTATTTTTATTTGATTTAAAATGTACTGTACTACTACTATAGCATGTTTAAATGGTATATCTGTTGCAGTGGTGTACTAAACTTTTGCCATGAAAGTATAAACTAGCATTCACACTATGGAAGCTTGGTTCGGCCACAGAATGAAAAATAAAAAAGGGATCAAAAATGTAAAAAGTCAGAATTTATCTCACAATTTAGATTTTTTTATCACAATTGCGAGTTTACATCTCACAATTCTGAACTTATTTCTCAGAATTGCGCAAATTCGCAATTGCGAGATATAAAGTCAGAATTGCGAGATATAAAATTAGAATTGTGAGATATAAATTCACAGTTGCGTGTTATAAAGTCAGAATTGCGAGATATAAAGTCCGAATTGTGAGATATAAATTCGCAATTGCCTGTTATAAAGTCAGAATTGCGAGATACAAATTCGCAATTGCCTGTTATAAAGTCAGAATTGCGAGATATAAAGTCCGAATTGCGAGATATAAAGTCAGAATTGTGATATAAATTCGCAATTGTGTGTTATAAAGTCAGAATTGCGAGATACAAATTCGCAATTGCGTGATATAAAGTCAGAATTGCGAGATACAAATTCGCAATTGCGTGATATAAAGTCAGAATTGCGAGATACAAATTCGCAATTGCGTGTTATAAAGTCAGAATTGCGAGATATAAATTCGCAATTACGTGTTATAAAGTCAGAATTGCGAGATACAAATTCGCAATTGCCTGTTATAAAGTCAGAATTGCGAGATATAAAGTCATAATTGCGAGATATAAAGTCCGAATTGTGAGATATAAATTCGCAATTGCGTGTTATAAAGTCAGAATTGCGAGATACAAATTCGCAATTGCGTGTTATAAAGTCAGAATTGCGAGATATAAAGTCCGAATTGTGATATAAATTCGCAATTGTGTGTTATAAAGTCAGAATTGCGAGATACAAATTCGCAATTGCGTGATATAAAGTCAGAATTGCGAGATACAAATTCGCAATTGCGTGTTATAAAGTCAGAATTGCGAGATATAAAGTCCGAATTGTGATATAAATTCGCAATTGTGTGTTATAAAGTCAGAATTGCGAGATACAAATTCGCAATTGCGTGATATAAAGTCAGAATTGCGAGATACAAATTCGCAATTGCCTGTTATAAAGTCAGAATTGCGAGATATAAAGTCAGAATTGCGAGATATAAAGTCAGAATTGCGAGATATAAAGTCAGAATTGCGAGATATAAAGTCCGAATTGTGAGATATAAATTCGCAATTGCGTGTTATAAAGTCAGAATTGTGATATAAATTCGCAATTGTGTGTTATAAAGTCAGAATTGCGAGATACAAATTCGCAATTGCGAGATATAAAGTCAGAATTGTGAGATATAAATTCGCAATTGTATGTTATAAAGTCAGAATTGCGAGATATAAAGTCAGAATTGCGAGATATAAATTCGCAATTGCATGTTTCATATAAATTTAAATTTGCAGATATCATGCATTTCTGACTTTATAACATGTAATTGCGAATTTATATCTCACAATTATGACTTCACATCTCGCAATTGTGAGATAAAAAGTCGCAATTATTATTATTTATTTTTTTAATTCAGTGGCGGAAACAAGCTTCCATAGTAGTCAGACTCATCAAGAAGGTGCTTAATAAATTCCATTTAAGTCTGTTTTATTACAGTTAGTATGAATATGGGATAAAAATCACATAATGTATTATGATGCTGTTGTTTTTTTAGACGGCTCTCTCTGGTTGCTTACATCATATTTCATATGAAGCATTTTTGAATGTTATCAGTGTTTTAGAATAATGCAAGCATCCAGTGTTTTCCATAACCACATAGTTAGTCATAACTGCACCATCATACGAAAATAAAATAAATCAAACATATTTACTGTTCTATTCATGCCCTAAAGCGATGCTAAAAACAAACTTGCATCCCCCATAACACGGTTTCTGACCCTGCTGACCCCTCTGTGACCCTCACCCACCAGACCTCTGTGCTTACAAGGATTTGTGCATCTAAAATGTGATTATTTAGCAGTGCAGCAGGGCAGATGGGAATGATTTGTAACAGTTCCCCAGGGAAACTAAACCCTTTCAATTAGTGACTGTCTCATTCAGTAGAGTAGCTGCAGGTTTATTATTTCATCATAATTGGTGCAGTTTGCTAAATATTACTATTAAACATTAAACTGATGTAGGTACGTAACTATTTTAAAGCTCTTTGTTTGTTAACCCATGTAACAGTATAGGTTAACAACAGATAAAAGGTACAGGCATATTCAATAAACAATAGCTCTGACTTTGTGGTACTGACCATTCACCTTAATAGACAACTCTCTCTCTCTCTTTCTCTCTCTCTCTGTGTGTGTGTGTGTGTGTGTCTGTGCGAGAGCTGTGACTCTGAAATAGAACCAGTGTTAAGAATTACCATAAATAAACAATATTATTTATTAGAAATCAACTTTTTAGTTTAGCTAAATTTTACTTGCTTTTGTCCTTTTGCTATTTTTTATTTTTCTATTTAGGTTTCATATATTTTTACTTCAGTTTTAGTTTAGGTACTACTTAACACATAACATATAACATTTTAAAATATTTAGTATTTATTTAAAAAGTTATGTTTGTTCGTCTAATATTTATATTTTATTTCAGCTTTATGTAAAAAACGTTATTTAATAGTTTTAGTTAACATCACTGTAAAGTAGCCTGTTCCCAAACCTGTATGATTTATTAAATATTAAAGAAAACACAAGAAAGATGGATGGGATGAGTTTTTTATTGCAGGAATATTTTTTGAGACTAGCCTATACAATTTATGATATATATAATATGAAAATGTGGGCATATTTAATAAGATGTCTCATCTGAATATTTTTCGCAATACAATCGTAACGTGTCTTTTAAAATTACGTATTTAATTTTGGTAAATGGAAACAAAAAACATTTTACCACTTGTAGTACCTCCCCTAAATGGCTGTGACGTAATGCCGAACTTGAGCCCGCCCCCTCCCTCTCTCCCTCTCAGTCTCTCTCTCTCGCTCTCTCTCTCCAGATAAATGTGCACCAGGGTTGAGGGACTGAGTGAGTGAATGTGTGTGTCGCGCAGATTACAAAAAGGAATCTACGGACCGAGAGCGCGCGCGGCGGCGCCCCGCACCCCGTGACACAATGTAGCAAATTAGACCGCCGTAATCGCACATGAGCGTCCAGTTTGACCGGACCGGACCGAAGTGAACTGAACTATGCCCAGCGCCGAGAGAACTTTACCTGAACTCGAGAGGAACTCTTTCTTACACTGCGACATGGTATGCTTGAGTTATGCTTGAGTCGTTTTAATCCAGCTATGCAGCATGTTATCTAACCCCCAGACTGTGCATAATGTGTGGATATCATCTAATCTGATGTTTTTCTGCTGTTTATGGTTCATGATCTTAAGATGTTGTTTTTCCTTTCTATCAGTCTCGTGCTAACCCGAAATATCAATATAGTTTCACTATAGCCTAGTAATACTGCAGTAACCAGTTGTAAACAATGGTTTTGCTTCACGGAGCGCGGTTTTAATATCTTTACCTTGGTCATGTTTTTTATATACATAGTTATTATTGCTATGGTTTTACAACAAGGTTACTGTAGTAAAGTATGTTTTGTTAATAATTGCATCTAAAATGTCCAATTTATAGGCTAATGCTTCATATACAGCAATATAGTGTAACCATTACAATGGCAAAAACATTGACATCAGAAAATGTATTTATTACGAAAACATTATGACCGTTAATTCAAATGTTATTTTCATTGGCGATACAAACGATAATATTTATCAACTGACATTTCACAGCATGTTACTTTTAGATAAATGACACGTTGAACTTTCAAGAATCCTGAAAAAATGTGCTTGTAAAAAAATATTGTTGGTTTAACTTTAAAAAAAAAGTAACCTGCTTGCCTTAAAATTTTGAGTTCATTGAAATAGAAAAATTGAGTTAATACAATGAAGGAGATTAATTTAATCACCAGAAACACAAAATATTATGTTATCCGAACAACATAAATTATCTAAGTTGATTTGACAAAAAAAAATGTGATTACAAATCATGAAAATATTTTTTTACAGTGCACAAATATATTAAGCAGCACAGCTGTTTTCAGCATTGATAATAATAGTCAGCATATTAGAAGAGTAATGGATGCCTTCACATGAATAAATTAGATTCTAAAATACATTAATTTTAAATTGTAATAATATTTTACAATATTATATTTAAAAAAAATCTGACTGACCCCAAACTTTTGAACTACATGTCTGAGAATTTCAGTTATTGCCATAATCTGTGCATGTTGCTCAAGCATTCCTTAAAAAAATAATAATAAAAAAAAAATGGATGGATTTTTATTTTTTTATCATAAATTTGAGCCAGTCCTAAAAGGGTCAGATGGGATTCTGCTATATTATTAGTTTCTTTTTACCCAACAGAGTTTCTGTGACTAGGTCTGATATAAACATCAGAACTACCGTGTTATCCCGACTACCGTGTCTCTTCCCAAAGAGTTCGTGTGCATCAAATAATAGTGAAACTTAACCCCAAGTTAGACCGGTTCCACTGGTGTTTCCTCATAACGAGTTAATGGCGATACTTTACCGTTCTAATTCACGGAAATCAAATCCCCTAGTATCTCTTGCACACACACCTAAACCACATTGTTAATAGGTTTGAAAACTGGGGTGATGGTGGCGTGCTGGGGCATGTGCTTGGGTCTTGAGTTGGGCTGTTGTTAGCAGAACAAGTGCTTCTGTGTTCAGTGTGTGAGCGCGCGCGTGTGTTAACCCCCCTGACCCCTGGCACTAAGACAATGTGCTTGCCACATTGTTGTTGTTTTTTTAAAAATGCGACTAGTCCCTGCTTAGAAAAAGAACATGTTTGTTTGTCATTGTAAACCTCAAGAGTGTTTGTTTACTTCTAAGTGAAGAAAATGAGCGCATTAGCATCACTGCGTCAGTCCATTTGTTTAAACATTTACGCAGAAGTGATTTAGTGGATGGAAGTTGCTGATAGGCTTAATTGATTGTTCTGAATGCATTATTAACCCCGGCGTTAATGGAGAGAGAACGTAAAACACATTCGATTAGCCTTTCGTAATTGAATTGCTTTGATGTATCATAAGCGTGTTGCGTCAAGCAATTCACCATGAAGTATTGATTAAATGACAATATATGAGTTCATATGACAATTTCAAGTGAGGCTAAACATTTTGTTTTGCTACTTTGGGACACATATTAAAAAAGCACAATCATAAACATGTTTACTGATTTATCTACATATAATAAGGGCATATTGCACTACTATTGCTTTTACATGCATTTTCAGTGTTTCAAAAATAAAATGATCTAGCTGGTTGACAGATTAAGATTTGTGGATCAAATATCAGCTAGTTGCAATACCAAGGTGGTTAAGCCGCAAATCACGTTGTTAAATGGGAAAATAATTTTCCCAAAGACATCTCTAAATGGGGGTTTTCTCATATTTACCTTATGGGGGACAATTTTTGCTCCGAAAATAAAAAAAATATTGATGGTTTAACTTAAAAAAGTAAGTGACTTGGTTGCCTTAAAATTTTAAGTTGATTGAACTGGAAAAAGTGAGTTAATACAATGAAGGAGAATGATTTAATCATCAGAAACTCAAAATCATATGTTATCTGAACTAAATAAATTATTTAAGTTGATTTGACAAAAGAAAAAATGTTGTGATTACTACACTGTAAATAAAATATTGTTGGTTTAACTTAAAAAAAAGTATATAACCTGGTTGCCTTAAAATTTTAAGTTGATTGAACTGGAAAAAGTGAGTTAATACAATGAAGGAGAATGATTTAATCATCAGAAACTCAAAATAATAAGTTATCTCAACTAAATAAATTATTTACGTTGATTTGACAAAAGAAAAAATGTTGTGATAACTACACTGTAAATAAAATATTGTTGGTTTAACTTAAAAAAAAGTAAGTAACCTGGGTTGCCTTAAAATTTTAAGTTGATTGAACTGGAAAAAGTGAGTTAATACAATGAAGGAGATTAATTTAATCATAAGAAACTCAAAATAATAAGTTATCTCAACTAAATAAATTATTATAAAGTTGATTTGACAAAAGAAAATATGTTGTGATAACAAATCTTGAAAATATTTTTGTTTTACAGTCAAGCATTTGAGAATGCAGCTGGTCTCCTGAGGGCATTGTGATGTTCTCTTCTGTTTTGTAACCTATAACCCTCACCAGCATGTGGAGCATGTCTGGTTTGGAGATTGGACTGATGCAATGTTCCACCCCCCAAAAAAGAACGCTCCTATCACTGGTGCCAAATCCTTGCAGTGTTGACACACTTAAGAGTAGATTAGTCTCACTCAGTTATTAGAGTCCCTTTGGTGACACTTTGTCCTATGTGGCCATAACATACTATTGTGTACTATTGTGTGTGTCACAAATAAGATTGTGGAAATGGCTGTGCCCCAGAATGCTCTGATTTGTGGATGAGGGTGGATATCTTCCCCTGTATTGGAAGAGACTTCCATTGTGTTTACTGGAGGAAAACAAATTAAAGGAATGTTCCGGGTTTGATGTAATTGAAGTCTTATGCAGCATCTGTGACGATGTGGATTACCATGGAAAGCAATTGTGACGCATCAGCCAGTAAAAATAAACAAAAGTGGGCTTTAGTAATCCACTTGCAATGGGGCAAAACATTCAACTGGAATAAATGCCAAAAAAAAAAAATAGTTGAGGTACTCATAGATACACTCATGTACTCATCTTAATATTGTCATTCATCATCTGAGTCTGATGCCCCTCCCCTTCCGCTGCATAATTAAAGCTGCGACAGTTGAGTGCATGAAGTGTCCAACATTCACACTTCATTTAAGTGCACCTTTTCTAATTTGGGAAATTTCTAATAGCAGGAACACGCCTGCACTATATACACACAAAAAAAGAATGCTCGAGTGCTTAAATACACACTTTATGTCTTGTGTGAATTGAATTATGAGTGTAGCTAGGTTTTTTTCAATTCTATTTGTATATATTTTGTCCAAAAAAAAAGGCACAAGAACTATCCTTCCCACCCCAAGATGTAGAAAAGCTTAACAGAAATAGAAAATAGAATTCAAAATGAATCATTAAATAACAATTAATGTATGTATGCATACGTACACAACAATCGAAGAAATAAATTTGTAATCAAAGTGCTTGCTAATTATTGTATGAGCGTGTGAAGGTCTCTTTGTGGTCATATAATACAATACTTGCAAGGATGTGATGTAACCATCAGTGAAGTATTTAAAGGGTTAGTTCACCCAAAAATGCTAATTCTGTCAGTATTTACTCACCCTCATGTTGTTCCAACCCCGTAAGACCTTCGTTCATCTTCATAACACAAATTAAGATATTTAGGATATTAAAATCGCTCCTGCATACTAGTCCATAGGCTTCTTGAGGGAATGACACTTGCTGGCCTCGAAAAGTCATTAAAGACATCGTTAAAATAGTCCAAGTGACTACAGTGGCTCAATCTTAAGTTTATCAAACGACGAGAACACTTTTGTGCGCAAAAAAACAACAAAAATAACGACTTTATTTCAACTATTCACTTCCTTCTCTATGAGCCTGTAAGTCAGTTAACGTAGTGTGATTGCGTAGAGCTACGTCACACGTAGGCTCACTATTGGCCGACGCTGGTCATGTGTGTGATGCGTGTGACGTACAATAACAGAAGCTTACGCTATTAAACTAGTAACCTGACTCGCGCAGAGGGAGAAATAAACGAATAGTTGAAATAAAGTCGTTTTTTTTGTTGTTGTTTTTTTTTTTTTCATTTTTGGGTGAACTAACCCTTTAATTCCACCTGTTTATGACAAGGGAAGGCAATTCAAAGAATAATAATACATTAAATTTGTAGATTTTTTAACAAAACAAAAAAAATCTATTGAAAATAGAGCCCGACCGATAAAGGATTTTGAAGGCCGATACCGATACAAATATTTTTTGGTTTTAAAATCCGATATTCCAATATATCGGCCGATATTTTTTAAGCGCGCAACAAAACACAGATTTCCCTAACATTAGTAATTTGTAGTTTTAACTAAAATAATATGATAATGGATAATGCGTTTTAAAAAGAAACTCATTTCTTTTATTGTCACAACAGAACAGACTGATGATAGTAGCATTAGCTAGCTTTATGGTTAGCTACTCTATGATGAGCCATAATTTAGCAATGGATTACGTCATACTGCAAATTGTAAAACATGATATG